GTCTCAACTTTGACCGTCAGGGACTATTTTTATATGTACCGTGAAACGTTACGTACCAATTATTTGCGAATTTTGACTCAGAAGCTCCGGCAGAAATGTTAGAATTGTTCAGGAACGCAGGGCTCAAACGGTTTGAATTTATGGATATAACCACTTATAAAGATAAACAGGAATATTCACAGAATCAGAGTAGAACAATTATAGCTGTAATGAGACAGATTTTCAGAAAACTGAAATGGTGTCATTTTCTTTCTGCGTTCAGAAAAAGTGGTATTATCAATGCCTGACAAATTAAAAGTTATTCAAATACTTATTAAATTTTCATAATCTTAATATATTAAAATTATTTACATAAATTTAATTTCATTAATAAAAAAAACACCTCTTACAGAAGGTAGCGAAGGAGAGCGAGAAGAAAGGACTAAGCACAAACTACAAGAAGACAGACTAAAAGGTCATCAGTAAAAAGATGAGCCCGAAATGCGATTTACAGGTTGGGGACGCTAAAATCAAAGAATTGCGCAATTTTAAATATCTTGGAAGTGTTTTGACGGAGGACGGCAAGTGCGACACTGAGATCCGTAGAGGTATTGGGATGTTCAAGGACGCATTTCAAAAGCTGAGCAGAGTATTGCGAAACAGGAGGATCTCTTTGGTAACAGAGAAAAGAGTACTGAAGTGTTACGTGATATCTGTCCTCCTTTACGACAGCGAATGTTAGACGGTCCCCTCAAAGGTGAAGAAGAGACTCGTGATGACAGAGATATGGGTCTACAGAAGGATGCTGAGGATATCATGGACCGAGCGTGTGAGCAACGATATCGTATTGGAGAGAATATAGAGAAGGGTTATGTTTAACATAAGAGCCAGCTGAAGTTTCTGGGGCACGTAATGAGAAAGGATGGCCTGGGGAATTTGATACGCACAGATCAAATAGAGGGAAAGTGAGAAAGGGGAAAGCAATGCATGACGTACCTGCTTAAGCAAGTGGATGACAGAACGTGGCCTGGGGAAGGTGTCAGAGGGATGAAACTTATTGAGAGCTATGAAGTATAGGGGGAAGTGGAGAGCCATGGTCGCCTACGTCCTGAAAGGAAACGGCACATAAAAAAAGTTTTGGCCCTTTTGAAGATAGTCAATAAACAACGCCCTTTGCCTCACCCAAAACAGAGGCCATCAAATTCCCTGCATATGAAACGACATCGGCTTTCTTTGTAGCAGGTTAGTGAAGGTGTTGACACTGCACGAATTGTCTGATTGTATCTGACTCATAGTAATGGACCATCTCTATCCTGGGTTAGGGAACGTCCAATGAAACCAAATGGATCTCAAACAATATCAAATTTCGCTTTCCTGGTTTGATGCGCTTTTGATCGGCTGTCAGGAGAGGTGGCACCCACCGAGCCGAAACCTATGTCATGGTAAGTACATTGTGCAGAATATTCTCAATTTTCTCTCGCGGGATATAGTAATACCATTTGTTATTTTATTTATAATCACTTGCCGGTCATCCATCACCATGTAAACACGATCAATGTTTTCCTTAGTAGTGGCATTGGCAGGACGTCCAAACTTTGGGTCATCGTCAAGGCTCCCGATTCCCCTCTTAAATTCAGCTGCCCACTTTCGCGCTGTTGATAAACTAGGAGCAATCATGTCAGCATAAATGTCCTTAGAGCCAAACACTTTTTAAACACTACGTAGGTGCGCGCGTGTGTGTGTGCGTGCGTGTGTATGTGTGTGTGAGTATGTGCATGTGCATGTGTGCGTGCGCGCGTGTATGCGTGTACGCACGTGCGTGTGTGTGTGTGTGCGTGTGTGTGTGCGTGCGCGTGTGCGTGCGCGTGTGATATCGAAAACAATAAATGCAAAACGAACGACAATTCATGTATTAACACAAGGAATTACATGAAAGGAAATATCATAAAAGCTATAATAAGAATGTACCAGTTTATGTATGTGTAAGTGTGTGTGCATGTGTGTGTGTGCATGTGTGTGTGTGCATGTGTGCGTGTGTGCTTGTGCGCGCGAGCGCGTAACAAGCGTGTCTGGGAGAGTCCAAAAATCAAGAAAGAAAACTATGAAAATAAACGTGTTCCAGTGGAGACATTTTACCCACGTGTAACTACATCTGAAAGCCTGAGTTAAAATCTGAAAAAAAGTTGCCAGGGAGAGAAATGCACGCCTTCTTATAGGCTTAGTCAGTGCCTCCGAGCGACGCTCTTTTTAGCAAATTATGGTGGTGTACACCACAACATATCAATGTGCAAAAGAGATTACAACGAGAAAACTTGTCTAGCACAATGCACTGAACCAATTATCTGAGCAAGAGGTTTTACTGCTAACTCGATATCATTCTTTTAATGATTAACCCATTAACTGCCAAATTTTTTTTAATGCGCATTTTTGGCCCAGACAGGTTTCTTATGAGTTTATTTATTCCTTATGTTTAATTTCAGTAGTTACCATTGTCGTTTTTATAGAAACTAGAACATCAAATATATATATGTGTATAAAACATCAAAAAATAATATTGATTAGAAATAATAAAAATATACTTTACAAAATAGTCCTTAATTTTCTACTGGTGAAATGTAAAATTACGACAGAAAGTGTCTTCTTACGGCTAATAATAAAAACTTTAAAGGCTAAGTGCTGTAAAATATACCTCTGCAAATGCAATGTATATAAGAAATTCAATGTAAATACAAGGAATAACATGTAGTGAGTTTAATTTTAACAGATCCCCAAATGGGGTTCATGGCAGGTAATGGATTAATATGAAGAATTGGAACTAATACTTGTAAAATTTTACAGCTATAGCATCACTCCATCATAATCTGCCCATGAACTTTTCAGCCCCCCCCCCTCTTATGCAATTCCTCTCTTATTTTCATTCATGTATTCTTATTTTTAATCAATTATCTATTCCTGAAGCTTTCAAGAGGTTTCATTTGCCTTTGCGTTGAAATTCTTTTGATGTCCACTTACCAATCATTTCCGACAACTTTTGCTAACTGCTTTCTCTGCTTTCACTTATCTGTTAACATCTCCCAAATTCTCTGTGAAGTTTAAACAGCGTGTGATGTGCAATTTCATATTCCATTATAATTTGAACTAAGCCGATATCAGTTTTCAAACGCGTCTTTAATTGTATGTGAACACACGTAAGCATTAATGCAGCGGGAATTTTTTTTTACCAACACGATAGAAGTATGCTGATTTTTGACTCAATAAATACGAGCCGGCGAACGGCCCGCTGTTATAAGCATTTCATCTGAGAGCTTCAATTTTGACGCCCTGTCCATTGGGGCTTCAGGATTCGCCGACTGCTCTTCTGCAGAGGGGTAAGACCCTTCTCCCCGCCCCGGAAATAAATGACGCGTCCTGGGTATGACGAGGAAGTACATACGGCAGTAAAGCCTCTGATCAGGAGGTTTTGTGGTGCATAGATCCACCATTTAATTGCTGGTGTTCCTAGGTTTACCATGACCCCGGTTGGTAGCTTCTTTTTCGCGTCCCAGCTATGAGAAAATATTTAACCGACAAACTGGGATCAAAAAACTATGAAAATGTAAAAATGGGTTTTTATGGTAAAAATACCAGCAATAAGTCATTGGAAAAAATTTATTACCTGCAATACAGTTTTGATAAAAAACAATATTACCAGCAATACTTTTTTTGAAAAAAAAATTTTTTATCAGGAATACATTTTTGATAAAAAAAAAAAAAAAAATATTACCATCAATACATTTTTTGTGAAAAATATTACCATCAATACATTTTTTGGAAAAAAAAAAATACCAGCAATACATTTTTGAAAAAAATATTACCAGCAATATATATTTTGGGGAAAAATTACCATCAATACATTTTTTGGAAAAAATACTACCAGTGATACATTTTTGAAACAAAAAATACCAGCAATATGTTTTTTGAAAAAAATTACCAGCCATACATTTTTAGGACCAGCATTGTTTATTACCAGGAACACATTTATGTAAAAAAAAATATTACCAGTAATTCATTTTTTGGAAAAAAATTGTTACCAGCAATACATTTCTGGAAAAATATTACCAGCAATACATTTCTGGAAAAATATTACCAGCAATACATTTCTGGAAAAAGATATTACGAGCAATACATTTTAGGGGAAAAAATATTACCAGCGGTACATTTGACTCTCGAAAAAAACATTTACAAAAATACGTCAATCTGGTTCCCAGACTTCATGAATTTAAGCGTTTTACTAGGCTAGCATTTCGCTCTCACCCTTTCACTGTCGAAACTGTTAAATGTAGCCGTCTCTTCTACTCTAATAGCTTCATGTCTTTCACTTCTCGCCTGTGGAACTCCCTCCCCATTTCTTGTTTTCCTGATAGCTATAATATCCAACTATTCAAATTTAACGTCAATCGACGTCTCCAGATGCCCTGATCTATCCCTTAACATTCTCTTCATCCTTTCCTCTATCACTCCTCTTTGCTCTAGCTCCAACTCTTTGTAACCCCTTGCGTGCTAGTGGCTTCCCGCCTTACTTGGGCTTGGAATCTCAGAATCGTGTCGATGTAAAGGTTAATAAATCCGGTGAGAAGAGACAGCCTTGTCTTACGCCCTTTTCTAATTTTTTTACGGTCTTTGCTTCATTCCTATTCTATGTAGGATGTTTTCTTCCGAAGTGTCTAATGTTTCCGTGGAATCATCCTGATATTTCTTGGCGTTCAACCACCGATAAACACTTAGAAGACACAAGCGATGAAAACACTAATGGAATGTAAAAGACAACTGGGAAAGAATTGTCTTAATTAGAGCCACATTAATTAATGACTGCTTGTTTATTTACGAGCGACAACTGATGACAAACGCCATTAATGTGATGAGTATCGTTGCTTCGGTTCCATTGCAAAATCTCGCAGAAAATCTCTTTTCCTTGATTTGGAATTGGTTTGCCTTTCACTTAATTGAATTTCTCCTTGATTTATTCCCCGTTTTATTTTGCAATGATCCTTTCTTCTTTCTTTCTTTCTTTCTTTATTTTTCTGTTTACTATTCTTGTTTTTTTTTTCAGTTATACTTGTTGCTTGGTCTTCTTTCTTTCTTTCTTTCTTACTTTCTCTATTTCTTTCTTTCTTACTTACTCTATTTCTTTCTTTCTTTCTTTCTTTCTTTCTTTCTTTCTTTCTTTCTTTCTCCAGCTTCTGTTATATAGGCATTGGCATAGCACATTACCACTTTTCTTCAATATCGTCCTTCTTTCTTTCTTTCTTTCTTTCTTTCTTTCTTTCTTTCTTTCTTTCTTTCTTTCTTTCTTTCTTTCTTTCTTTCTTTCTCCAGTTTCAGTTTTAGAGGTATTTATATCAAGCATTACAAATTCTCTATCTATCTTTCTTTCTTTCTTTCTTTCTTTCTTTCTTTCTTTCTTTCTTTCTTTCTTTCTCCAGCTTCTGTTATATAGGCATTGTCATAGCGCATTACCACTTTTCTTCAATATCGTCCTTCTTTCTTTCTTTCTTTCTTTCTTTCTTTCTTTCTTTCATTCTTTCTTTCTTTCTTTCTTTCTTTTTCTATTTATTATTCTTGGATTTTTTTCCAGTTATACTTGTTGCTTGGTCTTCTTTCTTTCTTTCTTACTTTCTCTATTTCTTTCTTCGTTTTTTGTTGTTTTCTTTCTTATTATTGTTTTCTTTTCTTCTTTCTCACTTTCTTCGTAATACTTACTGCCTTCTTTCTTTCTTTCTTTGTAATACTCATTGTTGTCTTTCTTTCTCTCTTTCTTCGTAATACATACTACCTTCTTTCTTTCTTTGTAGTACTTATTTTTTCCTTCTTTCTCTTTACGTTTATAATACTTAGTGTTTTCTTTCTTTCTCTTTTTCTTCGTAATACGCATCGCTTTCTTTGTAATACTTATTGCTTACTTTACTTCTATCTTCATAATACTTATTGTTTTATTTCCTTCTTTTTTTCTTTCTTTATTTCTTTCTTTCTTTCTAATACTGTTTTCATTTTCTTTTTTCTTTCTGTATTTATTGTTTTCGTTTTCTTTCTTTCTTTTTTCTTTCCTTCTTTATTTCTTTCAGTACTTATTGGTTTCTTTCATTTTTTCTTATATATTTTATTCGATTATATGTGTATTACTTGTTGCTTCATTTTCTTTCGTTCATTTTTCTTTCTTTTTCTTTTTCTGTAATATTGTTTTCTTTTTCATTTCGTTGTTTGCATTTTCTTTCTTTTTTCTTTCATTTGATTCGATCCTTTTTATAATAGAAATTACATTTTCTTTCTTTCTATCTATCTATTTTTCTTTCTTTCTTTCTTTCTTTTAGCTACTGTTATCTTTAATTTTGTCTTTCTTTCTTTCTATCTTTCAAGAAATACTTTTAGCATTATTTTTTCTTTTCTGTGATATGTTTTGTTTTCTTTCTTGTGTTCCATAATCAATTTTTCTTTTTCATTTTGTCTTTTTTAACGCTTCATTATTTCTCTATTTATACAAAATATTTCTTTTTTTTTACCGTCATTCTTAACAATAATAATACATCTTTCTTCCTCCATAAATTTACTTTTTACTTTTCTATTTTATATTTTCCTTGTTTCCCGCCCATATCACGGTTACGTTACATTTTCTGTATCTCTTTATTAAACCGGGAAATACAAGAATTACCATTTTGTACTACACCATCATATCTCATTATGGGTGGACAAATTCAAATTGGCAGACGACATATTCATTTTTGTTTGTCATGAGCTGAACGTCAACTTTGGTTGAGAAAGTCAAATTAAATTTACGAAAAATAGCTCAATATGCGTTGAATAGTATGAATCAACCGGATATAATTAAGGATGGTTTCTCGACAATAATTAAATGAAGTCACGATTTGATTTATTCGACATAATATATATATATATATATATATATATATATATATATATATATATATATATATATATATATGAGTTATATTTAAGTAGAAAGTATTCATTCAAACAAATTTAATTAAAATAACCGACAAGGTCTGTCAGTTTCTTTTTTGTTGCATTATTTCAGTTTTCGAATAGTATATTGTGTATTGGTGTCGAATCGAGGATAGACAGTCTGATGTCCATATTGTGTTATGGTACTCTTCAAGTAATTTCGACCATAAAAGTCATTTTCAAGAACCAATGCCGTGTTAGAATTTCTTTGTTTACATCCTAGCATTCTTTGGAAAGTTGAATATATATATATATATATATATATATATATATATATATATATAGGAAAACTGTAGTTTTAACCGATGTGTTTCGTCCAACTAGGACTTCTTCAAGAAAAAAAACGAAATGAATTTATTGAAACAAAGTATCTATAAACAACAAACGAAATGTTGTTAGCAACTAGAAAAATTTAAAACAACGCTATTCCATATTCATATGGTCAAACTTAAAAATTACTTTATGTTTGAAGTAATATTTTCCCTTGTAGAAATATTGTTTGCATTGTTTTATTGTTTCTGTTGATTTTTTGATATATTTGTTGTGTACATTCGCTTGGGAGAGTAGTGATTCTCTTAGGACAGGTGATATTGGGAAAAATAGATTAATTTTAATAATTTTCAATGGCGGCACTCTCGAGGATTTCCTATTTTATTCTTCTTTTATACATATTGTCTTTTACTACAGGTTAATTCTAAGAAATTTATACATAGATAGATAGAATAGCTGGCCACTCGCATTCGAGAATACCCGTCTACTAGGGCGGGTAGCCAATCCCTGTTGCAGACGCTCACTCAGGTACATTATTGTGCTTGCTCAACATCAACAGAGCCTACCTGTGGTTTTATACTGTTATAATGCAACTATGTTGAGCAGAGCTTACTTATAGAGAGAGCGTGTTATCTAACGTGATCAACAATTTGAACGGCCAATATATATATATATATATATATATATATATATATATGTTTACATCAACAATTTGAACAATATATACATATGCGTGATACACGCTTATGCGATCATGTATCGAAAGACACATGACTGACGAGGCAGATTTTTTTCCCGCAGTATGCTGCCGTTTCTTTCTGCGGTAGACCAGTTGCCATCCAAGGCTATAGAACACGGTCTGTGGTCAGTTATATGCCATGCATGATACATGCTTACGGTATCATGTATCGAAAGACACATGACTGACGAAGCAGATTTTTTTCCCGCAGTAGTTTGCCATTTCTTTTTACGGTAGACCAGTTGCCATCCAAGGTTATAGAACCCGGTCTGTCCCGCTATTTACCCATAGCTGGTGGGAGAAGAAGAGGATTCATACCTTTCCCAGGGTACTATGATCACGTAATTATTAGGATTCGAACTCGGCTCTCTATCCGATCCACTATCCATTACTCCATCGTACCTCCTCAGTCAAGTATAATTTGCTGAAATCCGTAATGGCCCGACTAACGCTAGATGCGGAGAAATTTATATTTACCGCATCTTTCAATTTCCTCACTCTCCAGCAGTATTCGGAAAGCTTATACCTTAGAGTGTCATGTTCACTATTTACTCAGTAGACATTGTCTCCTATAGAAAATCTTACCAACTTTTTTTGAACATGACTTTCCGCGGTTGATTTCTTCCTTTCTTCATTTTGCTTATCTGCATGGGTTTTTGTATGTACGATATTTTGTCAAAAACGCTTCCGGTAATAGGTCAACTCGAGTGAGGAGATTTCGCATTGTGCTTCTACTTGAACCCACATCGATGGCCACAAATCTTTTGTATCCATTCAGCCATTTTTTTTTTTTTAACAGAAATGATAGGTATGGAATGCCTTGGTCGAAAAGTCATGATAACCACATATGTCAACGCAGATTTCAGTTGTGTCTAAAAAAATTTGTTTACTCAAATGTGCAAGTCGAAAGACGAAATGAACACTGGGGTGTTCTACTCAAATACGTACCAGCTAAAAATAACTGTAGAATTAATAAAAAGGTCTGTGGTTAGAAATAAAAGTCTATTATTTCTTTAGAAATTGTTTTGTTTACGTTTAGGATACAAAACTAAGTAGATGTAACTTTCAAGAAAAATCCGAACGAAATGTAGTTTAAAATTTAGGTTTTAGCCATTGCTTTCCCTTGCGAAAGGGGTCGAGGTTCGAATCCTACCGGAGGGTACATTTTCGCGAACGTACAAGCCGGTAGATTAAGTAAACATCGTTTGAAAAACAAGGATGTTCTACTCAACTACGGGTCCCCACAAAAATAAGGTTTGAATATAAAGAAAAACTACAATTCATTTAAATATTTTAACAACAATAATAATCCACCTCAACAATAAAGTATCTCGCGATAACCAGAAATATTATAAAACGGCTTTAAAGCAAAATAAAAATACCAGCATTTGAAAATTGCGTCGGCATGAAACTCAGAATTGCATAACCAATAAGGTGGTATTATGTATAAATTAAAAAGCTCTGTTATTTAACATTGGGCACTGTTTCTTCTTACACTATATATATATATATATATATATATATATATATATATGACAACAATACTCATTTTTGGCCCGATTTGGCTCTGGTAACGGTAAAGAATAACAGCAGGTGTCAGGTACTTACTGGAGCGATGTAGTGAACTTACCATTTTAACTGCATCCTTAGCAATGGATGGTATGTACGAGGTCCACTTCAAGTCAGGTGTCTGTTTGAAGCCCAGGAATATTTCAAGGAACGGTGTTTCCCTGAGGTAATTTGAGATTAGATCCGCGGTGATGGAAATTAATTAGTTTGGTCTTTGTAGCAGCGTGTGTTTTAGAAGCACACACTTATATAATCGTATTATCGGCATGGTTGTTAACAAATGATCCGCGTATATTGTTAGGCAGATCATTTATGTAGATCCAAGTCAGGGTTCTTCTCTTGGGCTCCGGAGGGCTGACCATTGATAACTACCTAAAGAATAGTTAGGAAGGATTTTTATGATCGAAAACTGGAGAGCTTGTGAGTAAACCTTTTTGACACACCTTTCCGAGGGCCTTTGAAATATCTATTGCTGTATATATTGTTTGTCTCAAGACCCTCACTGATTCTGTGAGTAATGGTAGTTAGGACGTTGATAGTGGATCGGGCCGACCGAAACCCATACTGCTCGTCACTGAAAGGTTTGCTTCTTTCTAGAATCTCGACGAATTTTTTTTTATTGATTATAGTCTAAAACAGCTTACTGGTCATTCTGAGAAGACTGATAGGTCTGTACTGGGAGGAGGAAGATTACACGCCCGTGTTCTTGAAAACTGGACCCTCGCTTGACACTTTCCTTGGATTTCACCTTCAAGCTGCGGCTGAATAACATTGCTAAGATTTGGGACAATTCCGAGTTGATGTCGTTAAGGGCAACCATTGGAATTTTATCTGGACTAGTGCCTTTTTTAGGGTCAAGGCCTTTGATAAATCTAGAGATGTCTCGTGCTGTGATGGTAATATTACTAAGATTGTGCTCAGTGAGACGAGGGAACTTTGGGAAGAGTTAGAGGCAAAGCGGCCCGCCTTATCTGTCGAGGAAGATATGACCCCGGGGCCATTTATAATTGTGGTCACAGCCGCTTTACTTCTCTCCATGATTTGGTTGGTGATCTTTTAGAATTCACGGAATCCATTTTGTTTCTTTTCAAACTTAGTGGGGACTGCTCGTGCCTAGTTACACTTGCCATTTTCTAGAACTTTTCTGCAGAGAATGCGGGCAGTTCTGAATGCTGTGAGAGCCTAACTACTTCGATCTTTGCGATAGATTTTGAAGTATTGGTTTCGGTGAGTTATGTCTGTAGCGCATTCAGGTATGAACCAGGATTGACTTTGTTTTTTTTTTCTGGAATTTATTCCGGGGTATAAATCTCACCATTTCAGAAAGGATCCAATCTGTGGAAAGAGTAGTAGTTTTTGAGGCAGCATGCTTGAGGAGGAGTTGGGAGAGGATCTTCCATTATGTAGGATCGAATCCTGTCTCGGTCTGCCTCCGTATAGCAAAAAAATCGTTCTATGGGACGGTGCATCAAAGGATGCCTTAGTTTTCGCATCAATCTGGGCACTGATTAGAGAATGGTCTGACATGACGAGGTAAAACTTTTGATAAACATTTATTAGGGTAGGAGGTTAAGAAGAAGTTGAGAAGATTCGCCTGGTGTCCCGTCGTGTCCGGGACCCGGGTAGGTTTTCCGATGATCTGGGTTAGTTCATAGGCGATAGAGAAGTCTCTGCAATATCTGCCTTCAATATCAGTTTTGCAGAAGTGGACTAGACAGTTTTTATGGCGGATATTGAAGTCACCGAAAATATGAAAGCTGGCCGAGAGGAATTGAGTGAGTATATAATAAATCTTCTGAGATATTCGGTCGACGATTACCGTCCCTTTGTCCTTAGGGCGATAGACACACATATGGTACTATGAATAAGTGCCACGCGGAAGCACATATACGGGAGATCCGGTTCCACGTATTTTTTCTTCGATGCCACAGGGGAACTGGTCCTTGATATAGGATCCGAATCCGTGGCCATGACGATTTAGGACCCGAATCCGTGGCCATGACGATTTAAGATCCGAATCCGTGGTCATGACGATTTAGGTGATTATGTTTGGTTATAAGAGGTCAGTGAACTCCCCTAATACGCATGAAGCGTTGATAACGGTTTCAGAAGTAACAGGAGTCCTGATTTAGACTGGAGAATGTGGTGTTACACTTCTGGAAAGTTAACGTAGACCCCCTCAGGTTGGTGTAGGAAGTGGTAAACGAAGCGTTTGTGTTTTTGTTTTTTTTTAGGTTGAGCATGATAGTTATATAGTTGGACACTGATTAGGAAATGGTCTAATGTGCCTAGAGGAAGTAAAACTTTTGATAACCATATTTCAGGACAGGAGGTTAAGAAGAGGTCGAGGAGATTTGCCTGATATCCAGTTGTGTCCGGAACCCGACTAGATTTTCCGATGATCTTGGTTAGCTTACAGGCAATATTTGCCTTCAACATCGGGTTTGTTGGAGTAGACTAGCCACTCTTTATGATGGATATTGAAGTCACTGATATGAAAGCTAGAATTGAGTGAGGATATTATTAATCTTCTCAGATATTCGGTCGAAGATTACCGTTCCTTCGCCCTGAGGACAGTAGAGTGCCAAGACAAATGTGGTATGATTTCCACGCAGAAGCACATATACGGGAGATCGGGTTCCGCGTATTTTTTCGTTCCTGACACAGGGAAACTGGGCCTTCATGTACATTCCGAGTTCGTGGCGATTTAGGTGGTCATTTCTGGCAATAAGCAGTAAGTAGCCCGGGACTGTGAACTCCCCTTGTGTGCATAAAGCATTGATACTGGTTTCACAAAGTAACAGGACGTCTGGTTTAGAGTGGGGAAGATATTGTTCCACTTCTTGAAAGTTGGAACGTAGATCCTTGACATTGGTATGCGAGATGGTATACGAGTTTTTTTTGTTAGGTTGGGTTTGATAGTTGTCCATTTGTAAATTGATTGGTTTCATGTGTGCAATGGTTGCTGGAAGACGAGTAAGCAGAGAGACAGACACACCCGCAAGAGTTTTATATAAAAATAACTTGGCGAGAATTGTCCAGAAATACAGCCGTAGCAGTACCATTCATCATGGCGTCGAGAGGGTCCACCAGAGACTACTTCACGGTCCAAAATCCATTCATACAACGTATAGTACAATAGCCTCTTTATTATACACCAGCTGATAGGATAGCCACCTTCGGAGTTACTCGAAGGTTCGGACCCTGATTATCAGGCGGATAACGTCAAAACCCAGTCTACATCCAGCACCCTTAATAAAGGGACATTAAACCTAGGAAAGAAAACGCATGCGTAATGCTCTAAGTGCTCATGTCGCGTCTGCACAAAAATCAAGGCAACAGAACTCTTCCTTGGTCAGATATGAAATTAAGAGATTTTTATTTGTAATCAATCATTATTACTTATTACTATCTATGTGTGCGTGTGTGTGCGCGTGCGCGCTGAACGTTATATGTAGTGGACACAGGTCTTTGAGTAGACTTACTTTTTAAATAATGTAAATCCATATCTACCGATCTGTGCATGCGAGAGACATATATAAATATGCTTTCTGGGCGTATTGCCTTGCGTTCTTTTAAACTGCCCAGCTACAGAATTTATACATTCAGGCAAAGGTAAGATGCAAGTTCAAACCTTGCTTAAGGCACTATTTCCTTACGAAGACTATCTCAGGCACAGGCCAGCAGACGTAGATTTACAATGTTTAAAAATGTTTACTTAACCACATGTTTCCACGAAATAAAATGCTTAAAGTAACATATATATTTGTGTGTGCTTGTCTGTCTGACTATCTAAAGGTGTTCATTATCTATCTATCTATCTATCTATCTATCTATCTATCTATATATATATATGTATATCTATTTCAGTCAGTTCAAATCTACAATTTCAGTGTTTCTATCTATCTATCTATCTATCTATCTATCTATCTATCTATCAGTCATTTCAAATCCAAATATTCTAGTGTGTTTCTATCTATCTATCTATCTGTCAGTCAGTTCAAATCCAAATATTCCAGTGTGTTTCTATCTATCTATCTATCTATCTATCTATCTATCTATCTACATACACACGCACAAACACAGAGCCATACATATACACCCACAAAAAATACACACACATATATATATATATATGAATCAGAAAGAGTTTTGTCCAATATTTGCATAGATGTAACTACTCTTATTTTTTATAAGAACAGAAATACGCCGAATTTGTCAAAATACGCCAAATCACTATGGAAGCCTCAGTACTTGTGGCGTCTTGCAATGATTCATTTTATTTTATTCAGTTGGCGTATTTTACGTCGCTCTTCTCACCGTTTGTGGTTCATGATGATGTTCATTTGCACTGTCCGTCATCTCAGAAGGGAATTGTTTTTGAAGTTACCTTCTTCTAGTCTTTACCTAATGGGACAAAATATACAAGGTAGCAGATGTTTTGAATTCAGTGTTTTCTTCTCGTAGACTCGTTGCCATCTAAGTCTATAGGACAGAGATTGTTCTGTTATTCAACCCATAGCTGGAGGGAGAAGTGATGGATTCATATATTTCTCAAGGTTGCTAGCAAGTAATGAAGACTGGAATTCAAACTCGGCACTTCGATTGCTCAATCCGAGTAGCCAAACCTCCCCCCCCGCTGTTACCATACCAAGCCAAAAGAAGAAGAATCGATCAAGATGCAGTTGGTCTTCAAGGAACCATTTAAATCCCATTATTTGAAATTCAACTTTGTTAAAGAAAAAAAAAGCAAAGTTATCCAAGAGACA